TCCCAGGTGTGTGAGAGTAAAAAAGCCCCTCGTCCCGGTTTACAGTCCTGTGGGCACGTTTCCGTATTTCGATTGCTTCTTTAATCCAGCGGCGATGTTTGTTTTCCTCTGTCCCAATGATGTTCACTCCGTCCCCGTCCATAATGTGGTTCTCTCTTTTACAATGGTCAGAAATGGCTGATTTGAGTTGTTCCTGTTCTGCTTTGTGTTTTGTTGCTCGTGTTTCGCCTTCGCTGTTTCCTTCTCGCATTCTGTTCTATGTTCCTTTTTTTGTGGACTGAACGCCCTCCCTGTTTCCCCGATGTGTGTCTTATTGCAGGACATGCAGGGTGTTTCGTATATGACATTACATTTATGCTCTGGTTCTATTTTGTCTTTCTGGTGGACGAGTAATTGTCTGAGTTTTCTGTACGGTTTCACTGGTGTGTTGATGTTAGGTTTATCTAAACATTGTAAACCAGAAGAAAGACAAGAGATTAATTCAGTTTTACTCGCGAGGAGAACGGGCAGAGAGTGGGCATCACAACCAACAGTCTCCACACGTTCTGATGACTCAAGGCCGTTCTCCTCTTTTTATTTCATTAGGAGGCCCTAGTTACAGAATGATAATTCTCAAGGGGAAGGGGAAACAGCCAAGACATAATAAGAAACTGGTGCAGCTAAGCATAGTCCAAACACATAAAACATGATTAACGATCAGGAGGTGCCTTAGGTCAGACACCATCATAACTCTTCATGTGTGACAGTGGGAGTTGGCTTCATGTGAGGAATCATCTGGAGGTTCACTAGAGCGATAGGACACTGCACACAGTTGTCAAACACACAGAGGTTATTCAACAAGTGACAAGTGATTGGTACATTATAAATCAAAGAATTGTAGTACATAAATGGTTAACTCATAGGCCTAGAATATCACACAAGTATTTAGCAAATATGGGATAATAAAATTATTCTGACAGTTGATATTGTGTTTTTTCATCGCCCTCTGTACTTTTTCTGTTATGCCCCTGATGTATGGTAATGTTACCATGCCATCCATACGTTTGTGTGTTCTGCGGGTGGTGCGGCTTTGTAGTTTACTGAAGTCGTGCTGGGACACCCGAGTGGATTCATTGGTCCTTTCGCCCGCGGTCACCTGACAGTCTACACGGGCGCGTCTCCGGCGTTTCATCGCTGTTGATATCGCAGTGATTTTAGTGAATTTATATGAAGAAAAACGAAAAACCCACCACTTCAATCCAAGTTAAAAATGCATTGTAACACAAGTAAAATATTACAATTTTTTTCACTGTTAAGCCACATTTCTGCGTTACAACAAAAAGCAACACAGCACAGTCATTTCTTACTTTTATAACGTGTTATCCCAACACTGATAAAGAGTGACTCAAACATGTGGGAATGAAAAAAAAAAAAACACAACTCCAGGTCTGTTTTTGAGGATGGAACAACATTAGAACACATCTTAAAGCTCACACGAGTCCATTTTGTTTAATATAAGACCTTTAAACAGCTAATTCCACCATATACTCGTGTTTCCCCGCCGTCCTCCGCTGTGTTTAAACCGTGGAGATTGTCGCGCTGTGATGTGAGCACATTTGTGAGTTTTGATCGTGTTGTTTGGTGCGAGCTGCTGGCGCCTCCTCTGAGCGACGCCACCTGTCCCCCAAACATGTCCACAAACAAACAACTCACGCTAATTTTAGATTTGGAAAAAGGGAGTCACTGGGAATAGGCCCTGGCTCTGCTGCTGCTGCTCCGGATTTATGTTATAATATGAGTTTTCATCGATTCTAAAAATACAATTGGATGTTGTGACTCGGTGTTTGCAGAAATGTAAAGACTCCACATCGAATCAGCAAAAGGAGACGATAAAAATACACGATTTAGGTTTGATTTTTGGTAGTTGAACAGAGGTGTGCAGAGTAGCCAGTAATTTACTCAAGTATTAGTAAAGTTACATCGAAACAGTATTACTCAAGTGGAAGTACAAGGTAGTGATCCAAGAAATTAAGTTTTTAGATTAAGATTTATTATTATTCATTTTGCACATATATAATATAAGAATAAAAAAATCACACAAGATAAAAAGTAGAGTGTAACATTAAAGCCTCCACCTTATGAATACATACAAAATTTACATTATAGTTGTGCATTAGTGTAAAAAAAAAAAAAAAAAAAAAAGATTTACAGACCTTAGATTAAATTCATTTGATTCAAATATGGATTAAATGGATTATGTGGTCATACCGATTTGACAAAGTCTCATCCCGTCAGATCTCAGAAGCTCAGAGGTCTGGCCTGGTTCGTACTTGGATGGGAGACACTGGAAAGTCCAGGAGCCACAGAAGGCGCCAGTCACAAAACTGTTGTTGTGTCCTTAGGCAAGACACTTCACTCACATTGCCTAGTATGAAAGTGGAGTGTGTGTGAGTGATGGTGGTGATGGCGCAGATTGGCATGGCAGCCGCGCTTCCGTCAGTCTGCCCCAGGGCAGCTGTGGCTACAATAGTAGTTTACCGTCACCGGGTGTGGAGAGAGAAAAAAAGAATAATGAATCTATAAAACGCTCTGTAAAGCGTCTTTGTGACATGTCTGTGAAAAGCGTTACATAAATAAAAACTTACTTGCTTAAAACACAATGAAACATCCACAATAAAATTATTATTAAACATTATCATGAAATATCAAACATTTCCTCAAACTCTTTTTGAACAACGTTCCTGATCCAGATGTGAAAACTGATCCAGAATTTCCAGCCTCTGTATCGAAGCGAAACTGAGCTCTTGATGTGACACATTTTGGAACATGAACATTATGATTTTGACGAGTTTTGTATCTATGAATCTCTGCACTGGTTTCAAAGTAAAATGTGAAATGTTTGGGGATCGAATTTGAATTATAAAGAATTTTATACATAAAAATACATATTTGATAAATATGAATATAATAAATATTAAAAATTTTAAGTTTGATGAATAAATTAGTAGACAATGTTAGTGGAATGAGTTGCGATTTGAACAAAACCTATATATTTTTTACAGTAGTAATAGAGAAAGTGAAGCTCAGACATTTTTACAGTATGACAGAGAGGTATAAATTAAACTATAGTATAATGGGTAACACTTTATAATAACTACACCTTACTTAGCCTTAATAAAGCATGAACAAAGACTTAATTAGTAATGAACAAAGATTTTATTAATAATGATTCATGCTTAGTAAATGCTTAATAAAGCATAATTCATCTTCACTTTAGAAAAACTCTCAAAAAGACTTAACTAAGAGATAACAGCTGCCTGAATTATCATTGTATTGTATTATTAGTAAATCATTCTCTCATAGCTTATTAATCATTAATAAATGCTCAAATGGTTCATCCATGAGTAATTAAGTATGAAATAATTATGAGTAACTATTTACAGCACAGAACCTTCATGTTAAAATATCACCACAGATGATACGGCTTTGTTTAGAATGTTCCACAGTATGACATTAAACTCCACTATCTCCATGACGACACAGAGATGCCACCGTGCTAAACTGTGGGTCAGATCAATAGTTTCATCAGTGCTCTGAAGGGGCAGTGACGAGTTTAGTCGAGTGTTTTCAGGAGTAAATCTGCTGCAGACGGTGAAGCAAAAGTGTGTGGAATTGGATTGTGTGTGTTTGTACTTAAAGCAACAAGAGCGTCTTTGGACACACAGAAGTTTTCACGTCGCACATTTTTATCAGCTCCTCCTTCCACAAAGTCGTCCCACCATCCACTGGTTCTCCAGGTCTCGTCCAGATCTGTCTGACTCGACTGAGACGACCTGGTGCGTCCAGAGTTTGACAGAGGTGATTGCAGATCCTTCTCTGAGGCAGTAGCTCATTTGGTAAAGCATTTGTCCACTGATCTGAAGGTTAACGGTTTGAATCCCACTCTCGACATAAACATCATGGGTTGAGCGCTCAGATCCACTGACCCAGAGGTTGATGGTGTGATTCCTGCCCCCCACAAATTCCTGCCCCCCACAAATGAATACTGTTGTTCTGAGTGCCTTGAAAGTGGAAAAATGTGACCATTTACTAGGGCTGGGTATCATTAAGACGTTGCCGATACGATACATAGGCCACGATATGATAAATATCTTGATACAGTGAGCTTTCGGTTCAGTATGATTCAAAATTTCTAATTGATTGGATGTGGTTCAATAAAAATTAAAGGCTAAATCATGGATGTGACACTAAAAGTCTTTGTTAAACCACTTCTAAAGCCAAGTTCATACGAAACAAAAACATTTTAATCATCAAAAACAGTGAAAATGACAGATGTGCTGCATAAACAAGTTTCCTTCCTCTAAACAAGCTACAAAACTGCAGCTTTAACAAAATAATTTAGTAAAATATACCAAAAAATACTCGAATATGATATATCGATTCAGCAGTCCCTGATATCGATACTGTATCATCACATCAAACGATATGATATATTGATATTTTTGCACACCTCTACCATTTACCATTGTTCACTAATAATATCTCTGCAGATTCTGTCCATTTGTTGGGAGCCTCCTGTAAGTTTATTAGAGCTTCCAGAGCAGCTTGAAGGTCCGACGCGTGGAAATGATCCGACATGTTTGTTTCTGTCTGTTTGTGACGTAAACACGTACACGACCTGAGCACATCTGACCAGAGTTTTGTGTCTTGGGCAGTGTCGATGGAAACACTACAGCAGAGCGTATTCAACTTTACTACTCTGGAGGGTGGTTTCAGATATTTGTGTTTTTAAGCCCCAAAAACACCGTCACCGTCTAAATGAAAGACACTTCAGATAAAATATTTTGTCATTTTTACCCACAAGCGTTCTCGCGTAAACAGACACTTACTTGAGACTCGCAAAACAACGACTTGGTCCCACGTCTGGTATGGACCCTTTAATCCCCCCATAAAAGTATAATACTCCCTTTTTAACCCTCCTCTCTCTCTCTTCTTCTGTCCTTCTGTCCTTCCGCAGGGCCATGCTGAGCGACATCGGGGACTATGTAGGTACAGACATACAAATCTCCTGGTTACCAAACCTGGACGATTTAATGAAGGGCTATGCCAGAAACTTCCGCCCTGGGATAGGAGGTGAGTATGAGATCTGGGCTCTGGGTCATTGGGCTGCGCTTCACCCGCACATCTCAGCCATCCTCAGCTACGCCCGCCTCATGGGTGCTCTGTAGGTGCTCTGTGGGTGCTCTGTAGGTGCTCTGTGGGTGCTCTGTGCTCTGTAGGTGCTCTGTGGTGCTCTGTGGGTGCTCTGTAGGTGCTCTGTAGGTGCTCTGTTCCATGCTGTCCTGTTCTGTCTCACGTGCTCCTCTGGTTTCATGAGATGTTCAGACCTGCTCCTGGGTGGGACCTGGTGGATTTTCAGCGTTTTGGCAAAGCAAATGTTTGGAAAAAGAGGAAAAGGAAGTTTTTTTTTGCGAAGAAACAGAAACTTTTGAATCTCTGAACAGAAACGAAGGCTTAAGATTCGACTCAAATCGTCATCACAACTTGGACACAGGTGAAAGATGAACCAAAACAAATGTGACAGGCGTTTAACGGAGGTGAAGATGAGTCGGACAGGTTACAATAGTGCAAGATTTCAACACTTTTTAATTTTATTTTCTAATTTTAAGGCTAGAAAACACGGCTACAGCTAAGAATGTTAACAGGAACAGAAGAGCGGTTCTTCGAAGGAGCCTGGGATGTAAATAAAAGCCAGACAAACAGTATTGTAATTATTACTTATGTATATTAAGGTAAAGTGAAAAGCAAATTAAATTATAAACAAACAAACAAAAAACCCACAAAAGTTCAACTTCCACTTTTTCGGGGAAGATAAATTAGAGTTTGTTAAACAAAAATAAATAATTTATTTTCACAAGAGTTCTGTCATAATCCAAAGTTTGGGAATCACGATTTATGACTCATTTAAACAATTTCACAGCATCACTAAAATATGACCAAATGACGCAATTTAGAACAAATATGGTGCAGGAATTTTTACGGAAGCCCTGAGCGGCAAGAGAAAAGAGAGAAAAAAAAGAGGCACGTCATTTGGGCTTTTTCTAACTGTTTTCTTTTTCTTTTTTTGCACCAACAACCCACTTTTTTCCCTAAAAAAAAAACTGAACCAGGCCTAAACCAGGTCTAAACCAGGACTAAACCAGGACTAAACCAGGACTAAACCAGGACTAAACTAGGACTAAACCAGGTCTAAACCAGGACTAAACCAGGACTAAACCAGGACTAAACCAGGACTAAACCAGGATTAAACTAGGACTATTCTTGAACTAGGACAGTAAATAAAAAAAAAAAAAAAAAAAAAACAATAAAAATAAAAAATTTGCCGTTGAAAAAAAAAACAAAAAACACTACAGAAACAAAAAAATGTTGTTGGTGCAAAATGAAAAAAAAAAAAAAATAAATAAATAAAATTTGCTGTTGAGGAAAAAATAAAATAGTAGAGGAAAAAAAATGTTGTTGATGCAAATAAAAAAAATGAAAAAAAAAAAAAAAAAAAAAAAAAAAATTGCCGTTGGGGAAAAAAAACACTAGAGAAAAAAAATGTTGTTGCTGCAAAATAAAAAAAAAAAAAAAAAAAAGTTAGTTGTTGGTGCAAAAAAACAAAACAAAAACCTAAACACTTAGAAAATAGAGCCTAAATGATGTGCCTTTTTTTTTTTTTGCCTCTTGCAACTCAGGGCTTCTGTACATTTTCCTTGTTCCGTGTTCTTCCTGTTTGACTTTGATGCCTGTTTTGTTTTCTCATTTGGCTCAGAAATGAAATTAGACTTTTTTCCTAAGACACACCCTCACCTCAGGGTAAAGTGTCCCTGCTTCTCTGGCTGAAATCCAGAGAAACAGAGACATAACGCCAAGTCCCCATAACGATGTTAACTGTGAACAAGGACAGTTTCACTCTTAACTCTTCTGGATTGATCAGGACTTCTAGATGAACGCAGAAACATCCCATAAACAGAGTCCAGACGATTCTATTTTTATTTCAGACTCCACTGGGTCCAGAACAAAACAGAACAGACAGAAGACAAACAACAAGAACAATAAGATCTTAAATACTGTAAAAACCTCCTTCTTCACTGTAGCTTTATCCTGGTCATTCTTTTTTTTTTTTTTTCATTTGTTAGTACAATAATAATAACAAAGAACAAGTATATGTTCACGTGCATATTTGGGACCTGGTCAGGATGAAGTTTAAAAGTGATAGTTATAAAGTTATAAAAACTTATAGTGTCCTACCCCAACACATTTTATTTATTTATTTTTATTATTTTTTTACACCTTTGGAGTGCTTACCTGTCATATTCATAGCATAAATATACAAACTATATACAAACTATATATACACATCTAAAATATACAGTCCATATATTCAATTTAAATATACAGTAAATACACACACACACACACACACACACATATATATATATATATATATATATATATATATATATATATATATATACACACACTATATATAATATATATATATATATATATATATATATATATATATATATATATATATATATATATGGCCCGGTCAAGCAGAAGTAAACATCAAGGCCAAAAAATTCAAGTTAATTCATCTGATATATAAAAATGTATTGAACAGATACATATGTACTCTAGTTTATGAAACTGTTGACCTTTTTTCTGTACCATTTTTTGGTTCTAAAGTTCCACACGTTTTAAACAGACCATGTATGAAACATGGAACAAAAAAATTATTTCCCAAATTTCAAAGACCCAAAAATCATGTAAATAAATGGATGTATTTCATCATATCTTGTGTTATTCCATCTTTGAACTGTTGATGAAGGGACATGATTTAAAAAAAAAAAAGTATTTAAAATGATAAAAATGTTCTTGGAAGGACTGACATATTTTATAGAAATAGTTTCCTTTCATTTTGAAGTAATATTAAAGTTTTCAGAAGAAAAAAGCGACAAATGATGTAAAATCCTGCACCTTCTACTTGTTTGTACAATTTTCCCTCCGTTACTTTTCCCTCCGTTACCATGACCTTTCTTAATAAAAAATCTCATGACTCAAAAAGTCAGAGGTTTTTCAACCTAATCTTGTACCATATGGTAGAAAACTATATGAAGCAAATATTCAAAACCAGTTTGTTAAGGATATATGTAAGTGAGAACCAAGAGTTATCACTGTTTGGATTTATTGACCAAAAAGTGCTGCATATTTCATTCCCTCCGTTACCGACATGAGTTTTTAAATTTTTTTGTCAACAACTTGAAAGAATCTCACAGGTTTAACTTGACCCTGTTGGAGTGTAACTCTTTCCTACATTCTGATACTTTACTTATTTCAATAGTTCCTCTAGTTTCTGAATAAGAGACATTTGAATGTCAAAAATCTGACCCTGTTTCCCTCCGTTAACACTTGACCAAACCCAGATGAATGATACATATATTTTCATTTATGGTCGTACAAACTAATAATAATAATAAAGAAGGCACAAAGTTTATCGTTTATGATCGTACGAAATAAACAGTAATGAGAATGAAAAACTTGAGGATGTTTTATTTTCGTTTATGGTCGTACAAATTAATACCAGTAATAAAAAAGGCACTAAAGTTTATTTATTTATTTTATTTTAGTCCTAGTCCAGGTTTAGTCCAGGTTTAGTCCAGGTTTAGTCCAGGTTTAGTCCTTTAGACGTTGAAGTGTATTTTATTGACTCAGTTTCACTTAAACGTTGCATTTTTTTTCAGGCGCTCGCTCTGTTCATCCAGGTCTGAGAGTTTTTAGTTGTCAGGTTTCAGTCTGTCATCTGCATGTCTCCATTGCTTTGCCTGGAATGTTCCACAGTATGGCATTAAAAATATCTCACTGGCATTTGGTCCAGTGTGGATGTTTTACAGATGGTTTTATCGCTAAAATAAAGCTGAAAACACGCTTTATTACTGTGGACGGGGTTTCCTCTCCACAGATCCTGCTCGTGTCATCGCCATGGAAACAGACACATTTAATGCCGTACTGTGGCCCTGACCCCGGCTCGGTCTGTACACGTAGTGTGTGTGTGTACACAGTTGTGTTTTAGAGTCTGTGATTAAACATCTGTAACTTCCTGTTCTGCGTCCAGTGTTTAAGTGTAGATTTATTTGACCATGACTCGACTAATTCCAGTCCGCAGAGAATGTTGAGGGAAGTGTGACTCGGGACTTTTTATTTAGCCTGGAATTCTCAAGTGGAGCGATTCAAGTCCAAACCAGGACCAGGACCAGGACCATGATCAGAGCTTCTCTCTTTCTCTCTTTCTCTCTCCTTCTCTCTCTCCTTTTCTCTCCCCTCTCTCCTTCTCTCTTTCTCTCTCTCTCTCTTCCTCTCCTCTGAGACAGGAGCATGTACATCCCTCTCTCCTTCTCTCTCTCTCTTTCTCCCCCTCTCTCCTTCTCTCTTTCTCTCCTTCTCTCTCTCTCTTTCTCCCAACCTCTCTCTTTCTCTCTCCCTCCCTTCTCTCTCCTTCTCTCTCTCTCTCTTTCTCTCTCTCTCTCTTCTCTCTCTCTCTCTCTTCTCCCCCTCTCTCCTTCTCTCTCTCTCTCTCTCTTTCTCTCCCTCTCCCTTCCTTCTCTCTCTCTCTCTCTCTCTATCTCTCTCTCTTTCTCCCCTCTCTCCTTTTCTCTTCTCTCCTTCTCTCCTTCTCTCTTTCTCTCCCTCTCCTTCCTTCTCTCCTTCTCTTTCTTTCTCTCCTCTGAGGCAGGAGCATGTACATCCCTCTCTCCTTCTCTCTCTCTCTCCTTCTTTCTCTCTTTTTCTCTTTCTCTCCTCTCTCTCTCTCTGGGGCAGGAGCATGTACATCCTCTCTCTTCTTCTCTCCTTCTCTCCTTCTCTCTCTCTTCTCTCTCTCTCTGGGGCAGGAGCATGTACATCTCTCTCTCTTTCTCTCCTTCCTTCTCTTCTTCTCTCCTTCTCTCCTTCTCTCTCTTTCTCTCCGTGCGTTGGCTCAGAATGGCTGTCAGATGTGAAAGTCCCAATGGCTGCAGCTTTAGATTTCTCAACCTCACAGCTTAACTCAGCACGACTCAAAAGGTGGAACTGTAAAAAAAAAAAAAAAA